CCTCTGCTCGCGGCCTGCCGCGTGCATCCCACCTCATTACTCACCGAGGCCGCTTCTCTCGCGTGCCCGCTCGAGGACGGCGCGCACTTCCAGCATGGCAGCTGAGGATGGTGCACTTCCCGCATGGCAGCTAAGGCCTGGACCACATCCCACGCGTGCGCGCTCGAGGATGGTGCACTTCCCGCATGGCAGCTAAGGCCTGAACGCCCATTCCACGCGTGCGCGCTCGAAGATGGTGCACCCTCCGCAGTGCAGCTAACGCCTGAACACCCTCCTGTCATGCGCGCCCGCTCAAGGATTGTGCACTTCCCGTATGGCTGCTAACTCCTAGGCCCCTCATCCCACGCGCACCCGCTCGAGGATCGTGCACTTCTCGCACTCGCAGCCGTTGTTCCCAAGCGCTCCAGGGCCTCCCAAGCAGCGATTAAACATAATGGATGAGTACCCCGAGCATCCAAGACGACAAGACGACCCGTGCAGGCAACCAAGGACACCAAGATGGCCCAAGGTGCCTCGAAGACGGCCCAAAATGGCCCAAAGGCGGCCGAAAATTGATCCAAGACGGCCCAAGATGCCTCCTAGAGGGCCCAACATAACCACAAGAGGACCTCCAACAGGGTCCGAAAAAGCCAAATCACTGATGTCCCTTGGGTGTGTGAACGATTTTCGCATTCTCGCCTTTCCAGGCTGCCGTCAGCTCAAGACGGCCCGAGATGACTCCACGATGGCTCAAGAAGCATCCAAGACGGTCCCAAGACGGCCCAAGAGGACCTCCGTGAGACCCCAGACTGCCTTGGAAGGCCCTTCGACGGCCCAAAACGGTGCCAAGACGGCCCTACGACGGCCCCCAGATACCCACCAGGCGGCCAAGAGGGACCCAGGACGGCGCAAGAGAGTCCCAAGGCGGCGTCAGAGGGGCCCAAGGCAGCCCAAGAGGGCCCCAAGAAACCCCCAAGAGCCAAGGCCGCCCCAAGATGGCCGAAACGAGCTTCTTCTTCTCCTTCTTCTTCTTCTTCTTGTTCTTCTTCTTCTTCTTCTTCTTCTTCTTATTCTTCTTATTATTCTTCTTCTTCTCCATCATCATCATCATCATCATCATCAGCATCATCATCATAATCATCATCGTCATCGTCATCATGATGATCATCATCATCATCATCATCATCATCATCATCATCATCTTCATCATCATCATCATCATCATCATCATCATCATCATTATCATCATCATCATCATCCTCATCAGCATCATCAGCAGCATCATCAGCATCACCATAAGCACCAGCAGCATCATCATCATCATCATCAGCATCAGCATCAGCTGCAGCATCATCATCAGCAGCATCAGCATCATCATCATCAGCAGCAGCAGCATCACCATAATCGTCAGCATCATCATGAGCATCATCATAATCATCGTTATCACCATCATCATCAGCATCATCATCGTGATCAGCATCATCATCAGCATCATCACTATCAGCAGCATAATCAGCAGCAGCAGTATCACCATCATCATGAGCATCATCAGCATCATCATCATCTCCAGCATCATCATCAGCAGCAGCAGCATCAGCATCCGCATCAGCATCAGCATCATCATCGTCATCATCATCATCATCATCATCATCATCAGCAGCACCATCATCATCATCGTCAGCATCATGGTCCTCACCATCAGCATCAGCATCATTATCATCATCACCATCATCAGACTCATCATCATCACCATCATCATGGTCATCATGATCAGCATCCGCATCATCATCATCACCATCATCATCATCATCATCATCATCATCATCATCATCATCATCATCACCATCATCAGCATCATCAAAATCAGCATCAGCATCCTCACTACAATCATCAGCATCATCAGCACCATCATCATCACCATCATCAGCATCATCATAATCAGCATCAGCATCCTCACTACAATCATCAGCATCATCATCGCCTTCAGCAGCAGCAGCATCATCACGGTCATCCTCAGCAGCATCAGCAGCATCAGTATCACCGCCAGCATCGTCATCATCATCCGTCATCATCACCAGCATCAACATCATCAGCATCATCGTCATCATCAGCATGAGCTTCATCATCAGCATCATCAGCATCATAATCGTCATCATCATCCTCAGCGTCACCCTCACTCTCATCCTCACTCACGTCTTCCTCATCCTCACCACCATCGCAAACAACGTCACCATCATCGGCGTTGTTGTCATCCTCGACGCAGTCATCATCATCATCATCATCATCATCATCATCATCATCATCATTATCGTCGTCATCATCATCATCATCATCATCATCCTCATCATCATCATCATCATCACCATCATCAACATAATTAGCATCAGTTACCGTCATCATCATAATCGGCATCATCAGCATCAACAGCATCAGTACCATAACCACATCAGCAACGCAATCAGAATCGTGATCACCGTCATCATGATCATCATCTTCATAATCGTCAGCATCATCATCGTCAGCATCATCGTCATTATCAGCATCATCAGCATCCTCATCATTATCATCGTCACCCTCACTCTCATCCTCACCCTCGTCTTCCTCATCCTCATCATCATCATCATCACAAACATCGTCACCGTCATCGGCGTTGTCGTCATCATCGACGCAATAATCATCATCATCATCATCATCAGCCTCCGTTACCGTCTTCTCAGCATCATCAGCATCAACAGCATCAGTACCATAATCACATCAGCAACGCAATAAGAATCGCGATCGCCATCATCATGATCCTCACCTTCATACTCGTCAACAGCATCACCATCAGCAGCATCATCATCAGCATCATCAGCATCACCATGATCCTCCTTATCAGCATCGTCATCAACATCATCATCAGCATCATCAGCATCATCAGCATAATCAACAACATCATCGTCATCGCCATCATAGTCACATGATCATGATCATTATCATCATCATCATCATCATCATCATCATCATCATCACCATCATCATCGGCAGCATCATCATCGTCGGCATTATCAATATCATCATCAGCATCATCAGAATCTCCATCATCATCATCATCGTCACCAACAGCATCATCAGCATTATCAGCATCAGTATCATCATCAGTTTAACCATCATCATCATCATCATCAGCAGCAGCATCATCATCATCATCATCATCATCATCATCATCATCATCATCATCATCATCATCATTATCAACATCATCATCGTCATCATCATCGTCATCACCCCCCACATCTTCATAATCCTTATCCTCGCAGGAGGAGCTCGACCACAAGAAGCCTGCCACAGGAAGCCCGACCCTGAGACCCCAGGATCTCCATTGATCTTTGGTGTCGGAGCGGCACGTTTCCCATGGCGAAGCCATCGAAACCAGAGAAAGCCAGGGCACCCTGGAGGCGAGCAGGGTGTCTCTTGGCGTGGGTTTCCACTGTGCACTGCATCGTATGCTCCCCCGCCATCGCTCGAGTGCTCGGCCGCGGATCGTTCGCTGGATGCTGCCGGCGGAGCGCCTCCGCTGCCCGTCGACGGGGGAGAACTGGGGCACGCGAGTGAAGTCCAAGGAGGCAAGGACGGCAACAGAAGCCCAGGCGCGGCAGATGAATACGCTCTCGGAGGTCCGCCAGAAGTTCTGGAAGCAGCGCCGGACGCCCCCTCCCCACCCCCTCCCTGGCGCAGGCAGCGCGCCGATAGCGGCGCCGGGAGCGCCGCGCGCGGGTGCGAGGAGGGACGTCCAGCTCAGATCCAAGAAATCCGCGCGGACCTTCCAGAACACAGGAAACTAATTGTGTTGTTTGTATTCGAAGGCAAGGCGGCTGTCTCCTCAAACGCGCGCTCCAGCAGCAGCCCCAAGGTCTCCTGTGGGGATCTGACGGGCCAAAGCGGCAGGGCGAGGCAAATCTGATTCACCGCATCGGGACTCTGCACGCTACCTTCGATCGGCAAGCATTGCACAGTCCGTGCGATAAGGAATAAATCTCGCGATTCGCAAAGCCTGGGTGGGGCTTCAAGCTGAAACCGAATACGTATTGAGATGACCCTCGACTTTAAATGTTATACCGCAACTGCCAGGAGGGTGCTGTATGTGCTGTCATATGCGCAGCATTGGCTGCAACTCGGTCCGCATCTGGTGCGCCAGCATGCGTCTCAGATTTTTGCATACGAGGACGCGCCTTTGTGGAAAGGCCTGCTTCTTGTGGGTTTGCTTGCGGTGGTGTCGGATCGAAGTGGCCTGGTATCGGCGATACATCGCCGACAGATTGGTGATAGGCCGCCGCGAAACCGCACGTTCCTGGGCGGGGTGGGCCATCGGGCCCCTTATCGGCGATCAATTGGCGATTGGGGGTCGATGCATCCGCCCCTGAGCCTGATCATCCCCCCCTAGCGTTGCCCCTGAAGTCAGGGGCGCTCCAGGGGGAAGGCCAGGGTGTCAGCACGATGTAGCTTGGAGGTTGGCGACCGTTGTGGCGAGCTGCCACTCCTCTCACTCGAGGGGGAACTCTAGGGGGGGACAGGCTCGGGGAGGAAACCCCAAGCTGGAATCGGCGAGACGTCGCCGATCGAGCGGCGATAGGCCCCCGATAGCCCTCCCCGGTCTGCCAAGAACGCCTGTCCTCCCATCCTGAGCACCGGATCGGCCTGCCCAGGATCGCTGTAGGCGAATCGTCCGCGCCCAACTGCCTCCCCCCCCCAAGACGAAGCCAGGTCGAGGATGAAGTCGGGTGAGAAAACAAAAGCTAGAATCTCTGTGATATCGCCGTGAGATAAAATCGTTGTCTGTGTGTGGGCGTGGATCGTCCGCGCCCACCGGCCGTCCCCCAGAGACCTCCGGGCCGTCTCCGCAGCTTATGCCGCCCTCGGGCCCCGGGCCATATCCAGAGAGGCTAGAGAAGTATGCGCCGACGTGCCCGGTTCCTTTCACCGACGCGCTGGCGGCGAAGCCAGCGGCAGCGCAGGGAGGAGGAAAAAAAACAGAGAGGGAAGGAGGACGGAAAGAGGAGGGGCGCATCCTCGTCAGCCCTCCCTTCCCTACCTCCGTGCTCGTCCTCCTCCTCCTCCTCCTCCTCCTCCTCCTCCTCCTCCTCCTCCTCCTCCTCCTCCTCCTCCTCCCCCCCCTCCTCCTCCTCCGCCTCCTCCTCCACACGTTCGCAAAGCCTCCGCGGCTGATCCAGGCCAACTGCGAGCAGCAACAGCTCCTCAGATCGCCTGCAGCGAGCCCAGCCGGGCACGGCTCCACGGCACCGCGCCCCGTGGGCCTCCTGCGAGGGGCCCTGCGCCCTGTGGGCTCGGTGTTGCCGGACGGGTGCTGCTCTCTCCCCGTGCCGCCGCCACGCGGGGGGCTGTCTCTGGGCGTCTGCTGGCGGCCCCTCCCCTGCGTGACCACCTGCACCGCTCGCTGCACGAGCCATGCCGCCCCACCCCCACCCCGACCTTGCCGCCCCCCCCCCATAGCCCAGGTGCCTCTTTCTGATCCCCCTCTCTCTCTCTCTCTCCTTTTCTCTTTTTTTTTTTCTCTCTCTCTCTCTCTCTCTCTCTCCCTCTCTCTCTCTCTCTCTCTCTCTCCTTCTCTCGCTTTCTCTCTCTCTCTCTCTCGTTCTCTCTCGTTATCTCTCTCTCTCTGTCTTTCTATGTGTCTATATATATATATATATGTGTGTGTTGCTGTCTCTCTCTCTCTCTTTTTCTCTCTCTCTCTCTCTCTCCCTCTCCCTGCGTCTCTCTCTCTCTGTCTTTCTCTCGCTCTCTCTCTCTCTCTGTCTCTCTATTTCTCTCTCTCTCTCTCTGTCTCTCTCTCTCTCTCTGTCTCTCTCTCTCTCTCTGTCTCTCTCTCTCCTCTCTCTCTCTCTCTCTCATCTCCCTCTCCCTCTCTCTCTCTCTCTCTCTCCATCTCCCTCTCTGTCACTCTCTCGTTATCTCTAAATGTGTATAATATCGCTCTATATGTTCTCTCTCTGTATATTTATATATATATATGTCGTTATCTCTCTCTCTCTCTCTCTGTCTCTCTCTCTCTCTCTCTATCTCTCTCCCTCTTCCTCTATCATTGTCTCTCTCTCTCTCTCTCTCTCTCCTTCTCTGTTTCTCTCACTCTCTCTCTCTCGATCTCTATATCCATCTATATATATATAGAAATCTATATGTGTAGGTATGTATCATTCGATCGATCCTCTCTCTCTCACTCTCTCGCTCTCTCTCTCTCTCTCTCTTTTGTCTCTCTCTCTCTCTCTCTCTTTCTCTCCCTGTCTGTCTCTCTCTCTCTCTCTCTCTCTCTCTACATACATACGTATATACACACATCTAGCGTGTATACTTCCCAGGAGGCCCAGAAAGGGGAAAACGAGAAAAGGGCTCCCGCACCGATGCCTCCCCCTCCCCTGACATTCTCGTGGGCAGCAGGGGAGGAAGCGCGCCGGCCGCGGCGCCGTCGCCCCCGCGCACCAGCGCTTGGCGGACCCTCCTCGTAGTGCGAGCACATGACCTCCACCTGCGACTCCGGCACCCCGAGGGCGGCCGCGCCGTGTTTGACGCTGCTCTGCCTGGCCGCGGGCACCCCCGGGGGCCCCCCTCGTGCCCCTCCACGCCGCCTCCATCCCCTGTCCCCCCTCTCCCCCTTGCTTCCTCCCCCCCTCCCTCGCAAGTACACACTGTGAGTACGTACTACAGTCAACCCGTATAGTAAGGATGCGCGATGAGGACGCAAGGGCCTCGGACGCCCATTTCGATGCTGTTCGAGCGAGCCGCGGCCAACGAAAGTGGCCAAGGATGGACCGAGGAGGCAAGGATGCAAGGGGACCCTTGGGAAGGTTGCCCATCCTTGCTATGCGGGTTGACTGTACTCTCCTCTCTCCCCTGGTGACGTCCGGGCAACATTCGGCCCCCCCTCTGCGTGCTGGCTTTGTACACACAGGATTCCCGGGAAACGGGTTTTTGTTATGCTGCTGTCGCTGAAGCGCTGGCCTCATTTTGGGGTTACCGCTAGTTCCGAATCGTGCTCCCGTTGTAGCGCTGGCCTCATTGCCGCGCTTCCGCTCGATCCGAATCGTGTTCCCGCTGCAGCGCTGGCGTGATTATTTCCACCGCCATGCCACGGCATGGTTTTCGGTTCTTCCAACTAGGCCCCAAAATCTAGAAACTGCCCCCCGACTAAAGACATCGGAAGTGATTAAACATGCGGTGTCGGTTCGTTGATTTACTGGGCCACAGAAGCCCTCCCCCACTTTGCGTCGGCGCCACGCCATGCTATGTCATGTTACGCGTTGATATTCAACACCACGCTATGCCATGTAATGCTACACCATGCTACGACATCAGGCTGTGCGAATAGAGAGGAGATCTACGCCATGGTAAAGGATGAGAGGGAAGGATAGGACGCCTGATATGACCCGAGCGCACCTAGCTTGCCCCTCCCCCTCTCCCCTGCCCTCCGCTGTCCCCCCCCTCGCCCCAGGCCGGCGCCTGGTGGGATCGTACGACCACTTCTTGAATTCGCTGATCATGCGGAGGCACCTAGGCGCCACGGGACCCCGCGACAACGCGGGGGGCGCAGAACGCGAAGCCTCGCCCGTCGCAACCTTCTCCTCCTCCTCTTCTTCCTCCTCCTCCTCCTCCTCATCCTCCTCCTCTTCCTCCTCCTCTCCTCCTCCTCCTCCTTCCTCCTCTTCCTCCTTCACCTCCTCCTCTTCCCCCCTCCACCTCCTCCTCCTCTTCCTCCTCGTCCTCCCCCTCCTCCTCCTCCTCCTCCTCCTCCTCCTCCTCGTCCTCCTCCTCCTCCTCCTGTTCCTCCTCCTCCTCCTTTTCCTTCTCCTCCTCCTCCTCCTCCTTTTCCTCCTCGTCTTCCTCTTACTCGTCCTCCTCCTCCTGTTTCCTCCTCGTCCTCCTCCTCGTCCTCCTCCGCTGGACCCCCCAGCAGCCCTCGAAAGTGGCGACAGCTTCGCAGATCGCAGCCCCACAGGGATGGCGAGGTCTAGTCTGAGTCTGCGTGGGACGTCACTCCGCTGGAGCTCTCAGCAGCCGTGGAAAGTAGCGACAGCTTCGCAGATCGCAGCTCCACAGGGATGGCGAGGTCTAGTCTTAGTCTGCGTGGGACGTCACTCCGCTGGATCTCCCAGCAGCCCTCTGCGTGGGACGTCACTCCGCTGGACCCCCCAGCAGCCCTCAAAAGTGGCGACAGCTTCGCAGATCGCAGCCCCCCAGGGATGGCGAGGTCTAATCTGAGTCTGCGTGGGACGTCACTCCGCTGGACCCCCCAGCAGCCCTCAAAAGTGGCGACAGCTTCGCAGATCGCAGCCCCCCAGGGATGGCGAGGTCTAATCTGAGTCTGCGTGGGACGTCACTCCGCTGGACCCCCCAGCAGCCCTCAAAAGTGGCGACAGCTTCGCAGATCGCAGCCCCCCAGGGATGGCGAGGTCTAATCTGAGTCTGCGTGGGACGTCACTCCGCTGGACCCCCCAGCAGCCCTCAAAAGTGGCGACAGCTTCGCAGATCGCAGCCCCACAAAGATGGCGAGATCTAGTCTGAGTCTGCGTGGGGCGTTACTCCGCTGGATCTCCCAGCAGCCCTCGAAAGTGGCGACAGGCGACAGCTTCGCAAATCGCAGCCCCACAGGGATGGCGAGGCCTAATCTGAGTCTGCGTGGGACGTCACTCCGCTGGACCCCCCAACAGCCCTCGAAAGTGGCGACAGCAGGAGGCAAGCTGGCACCCGGGAAGGAGCGAGGTGCGAGGCAGGAGAGAAGGGGAGAGAGGGGGGCGGGAAGGAGGCGCGCGAGGAGGGGGGCCGGAGGAGGGAGGCCGAGACCGAAAGTGCTCTGTTCAAGACGAGTGTCCAACGCAGGAGGGCTAGGGAAGAACAGATCGTCGGAAGTCTGGGATCCCCATCCACCCCTCCCAGTCTCCCATCTACCAGCCTGGAACATATCCCTACCCCCATGCTGGGCATCTCCTCATCGCGATGCCAATCTTAGGGATGCCCTCGTGTTTTGAGGGCGCATCCCTGAGATTGTCATCGCCTTTTGGCGTGTCAATCTTAGGGATAGGGATAGGTTCGAGGCTGGTAACCCATCCCCTCTTCCTGCCCCTAATCGCTGCCCCCCACTCCACCCCCACGGGCCGCGACGTCCGAGGCGCGCGCAGGTTCACCTTGGCCTCCTCCACGAGGATTCGGATGGCCTGGGAGAGTTCCGGCTGTCGAGGAGGAGAAGGAACAGCAGCATCAGTGAGAGAGACGAGGGAGAGGAGGAGGAGGATGAGGAGGAGGAGGAGGAAAAGCAGGACGAAGAGAAGAGTGAGGCAGAGGAGAAGGACCCGTGTAAACCCAGAACTCATCAACAATGAAAATACACCCTCCCTCCAAGCTCCCTCTTCATAGGCCCCCACAACAGTTCATTTTGACTCAGGGAAGTGCGCCGTTATGAGTCTCAGGCAAAACGCCTGGCCCGCCATTCCGACTGGCCTCGGGATGCGACAGGGGAGATTGATTCATAAGGAAACGAATGGAGGAGAAGGATCAGAGCAAACTCAGCAAACACACGAATGATGCAACACACACGCACGCACGCACGCACACACCCGACGACCCCAGCCTACTGGAGGGGACCAGATCGGTCGAGAAAGTACGCTCGGCTTGGCAGCCCTGGCAACTTCAGATACGAAAACGGGAATCGGCGACACCAGCGTGAAAATGCGGTGGCCAACATTGCACGCCACAGGGGCAAAGTGGGGCGTGGCACCGCCTGCTGTAGTGCGGCGATTTGATTGCGTTCGGCGACGTCGAACCTGTGAGAAGGTGGAGCCCAGCAGAACTCTGACTTCGTCAGCAACACGTGCTGGGGCTGGCGACACTGAGAATGCCATCGTGCGCCAATTCACCTGTCAGAGTATCAAGCACTGAGCTCGGGCACCGTTCACAAACGGACCCGAGCGTAGCCGATGACAGTCCCACGATGCTTCACCGTTACGAAATTTTGGCCAAAAATCAACTCTCCCCGTTCGGCAGCGGGGCCCAGGTAAAGCGTTGTCAACGGAGGACACTTCCAAAAGGGCCCGTTAGGCGACGGGGCCCCAGCACAATGTTGACAGGGTGCGTCTCCTTGATTCGTGTAGCGAATGCGTTCTCACGCAGCTTGGACTTCAGACCAGGGAGCTTAGGCTTCGGTCGAACGAAGAGGTATTAGGCGGAATCGCCATGTCGGCTTCGGGCCCCCGGGTTGCGAAATCAGGTCGAAATCATTGTTTCGAGGAAGTCCCAAGCGAAAACCACGCGTCAACATTCTCTGGCTACTGGGTTTTTACACATTTGGTGACAAGCAGGTCGCCCGACTCGAAACAACGATTCCGGTTGAGACGTCCTCGAAAAACATTTCGGCAGAAGTCGAATCTTCCGGGATCGAAGTCGAAGTGACAATCCCGCCAAAAAATACTTCGTCCGAATCAGAAACCAAAGCCCTGTCGGCTCCATGTCGAAATGGCGATTCCAACAAGGACTTCCTCCGAAACTCAATTGGACCCCATTGTGGGTTCGAAGTGGAAACGAGGATTGTTCTGGTGGGGCCACGAAATCGGTCAAAGCTTTCGCAGCGGCGATGCAGTCCTCCTCCTACTCCTCCTTCTCCTCCTCCTCCTCCTCCTCCTACTCCTCCTCTTCCTCCTCCTCCTCCTCCTACTCCTCCTCTTCCTCCTCCTCCTCATCATCATCCTCCCCCTGAGACCCTGAGACCCTGCCGGCACGAATGTCATCCGACGTAGCCCTCCACCTCCTCCTCCTGCTCCTTCTCCTCCTCGTCCTTCTCCTCCCCCTCCTCCTCCTCCTCCTCCTCCTCCTCCTCCTCAAACTCAAACTCAAACTCAAACTCTCAAACTCACTCAACTCCTCCTCCTCCTCCTCCTTCTCCTCCTCCTCCTCCTCCTCCTCCTCTTCCTCCACCTCCTCTTCCTCCTCCTCCTCATCATCATCAGCAGCAGCAGCACCATCAGCATCATCAGTAACATAATCATCAGCATCATCATCATCATCAGCAGCAGCATCAGCAGCAGCATCAGCATCATCAGAAACATAAGCATCATCATCATCATCATCATGAGCAGCAGCGCCATCATCATCAGTATCATCATCGGTTTCATCAGCATCATCACCATCATCAGCAGCAGCACCATCAGCATCATCATCACCACCATCAGCACCATCAGCAGCATCATCATCATCAGCAGCAGCAGCATCAGCATCAGCAGCATCATAAACACCATCAGCATCGGCAGCATCATCAGCATCAGCATCATCATCATCATCATCATCATCATCATCATCATCAACATCATCATCGTCAGAATGAACACCATCATGGTAATCATCATCATCACCAGCATCAGCATCATCATCAACATCATCAGCATCATCATCGTCATCCGCATCCGCATCCGCATCAGCATCACCATCATCATCACCATCACCATCATCATCATAATCATCATCATCATCATCAGCATCATCATCATCATCATCAACATCAGCATCATCAGCAACATCAGCACCATGGCCAGCATCGTCATCATCAGCATCAGCATCATCAGCATCATCAGCAACAGCATCATCAGCATCATCAGCATCATCAGCATCATCAGAAGCATCAGCATAGACATCATCCTCATCTCCATCATCAGCAGCATCGTCATCCTCAGAAGCATCGGCATCATCATGATCAGAAGCATCATCAACAGCATTATCAGCATCATCATCAGCATCAGCATCAGCATCGTCATCAGCATCATCAGCACCAGCATCCTCATCATCAACATCATCATGCATCAGCATTAGCATCAGCATCATCATCATCAGCAGCATCAGCAGCAGCATCATCGTCATCAGCATCGTCAGCATCGTCATCAACAGCATCACCATCAGCATCAGCATCATCATCCTCGTCATCATCAGCATAATCATCACTATCGTGATCACCAGCATCATCATCACCAGCAGCAGCATCAGCATCATCATCGTCATCATCAGCATCATCATCAGCATCATCAGCACCATCATCATTCCCCTCCTCACTGGAACGTGAAGATCGCAGATGCTGTTTCGTGGGCGCCCCGGCTGACGTGCTCCTGGGCCTCCTGGTCCCAGAGGGTGCCACCAGAGTCCGCGTTCCTGCCCTGACTCGCCGCGACCTCCAGGGCAGGGAGGGGGGGAGGGCCCTCCTCCGTCGTCTTCCTCCTCCTCCCCCTTCTCCTTGTGCTCCTGCTCCTCCTCTTCCCTCCTTCTCCCCCCCTCCTCCTCCTCCTCCTCCTCCTCCTTCTCCTCCTCCTCTTCCTGCTCCTCCTCTCCTTTCCTTCTCCCTCCTGCTCTCTCCTGCTCTTGCTCCTCATCCTTCTTCTCCTCCTTGCTCCTCAACTCCGTTCTTTCTCCCTCCTGCTCCCTCCTGCTCTTCCTCCTCCTCCTCCTCCTCCTCCTCCTCCTCCTCCTCCTCGGCGGAGGAGGAGGACGACGAC